AAGAGATAACACCTATAAAAGATAATGAGGGAGGAAGTGAGATAAGTCTGAAAAGTCTCAGATTTTGATACAGATGGACAAAGTCTTAGCCAAAAAAAGCTCCAGAGCATAGCCTTCCCTTTGAGAGTTATGTGTTGGGCACAAGTGACCAAGCGCTAGTATCCTCACTGTGATGTCATGAGTTGGCACCTAGGAAGAATGTGGCTTTGGCTCAAACACTGTAGCAGATCCCAGACCCACTGAATCTGGAGGCTGTGAGCTACCTGTACACCTCACAGCTGAGCATCAGGTTTGTTCTTGAAGGAAAATGTGTGTGGTACACAATATGGATGCTATAATCTACTCCTTGCACCATGTGGATTCATTTCTCCATCCGTATTTGGGGAGTTGCTCCTCCAGTGTTCCAATTTGCCTCTCTTTCTGAAGAAAGACTTAAAAGAGAGAGGTTAGAGAGATGAACTATAGCTCCTTTTGCTGGGGTTGGTCTCAGGGCCACAGTTGTATTCATCAGCTCCCTCTTCCACTGACCATTTTACACTCCTCTTGTTCAGCTATCTTGTCTGCTGGTCTCAATGGTTTACCTGGTGGTGTATCCAGACCCTCATTCCTGAAGGAGTCAGAGCCTCTAGCAGCCACACCCATTTCAGGCCAGTGTTGCTGTACTTGTTTGTTTTTAGTCACATCTGGTGGAAAGACTTCCAAGAGGTCCCTAAGTGAATCACCTGAGTTCTACACATAATTCCTCTGCCCTCCTTGTGGCACATATACTAGGTCCAGATGTACTCACCACCCTCCTGACCTCCAGCAGCCCTGCCTTCTCTCCATGATAAGGGTCCACTACCCTTGCCAGGATGGTGACTCCTCTTCTTGCCTTTTGTTCCCTGGACACAAAAAGTCCAAAGGAGCTGTAGCTTGTTGTTCAATGGGACCCTTACTATCTCCTGTAGCAAGAGTCTGCCCCTTTGGGGACCAGGACCTCTGCAGAGCCGAGTTGTAGGAAAAGAAACCAGGTTATCAGGAGTGATGGTAAGTGGAGAAACTCCTGCTTCCACCCCCAAGTTCTCATTTTTCCAATGGGGACACACCACCATGTAGAAAACTCTTCTTTAGTCTGTCTACTGCATCCTGAAGGATGACTACTGATCCCCACAGAGTAGTGCCTCCAAGCTGTGCCTCCAGCCAGCCATTCCTTGGTGCTGATGGGCCAGCAACTTCCAGATGGTGTAGTACATGATGTGACCCATGACCCTGCTCCCACTCCCACTCCTCCTCTGCTGAGAAGTCAATTCCTTGGTCAGAGGCTGTTGAGTGGATGCCTGTGGATCAGGCCCTCTGTAAATCTCTGAATGTAGGTGGTGGCTGAGGCTCTGAGAAAAGGAGAAGCAAATCCATACCCTTGGGTATGAGGATGAGCCATTATGGGTGTCTCTTTTCATGAGACTGAACCATTTTGCCTTCCAGGAAGGTAAGAGCTCAGTTTTCCTCCGCTTACTAGAGTAACTGAGATGGCATTATGTCTCCTTGAGCATAATGTCATATCATGGGCTCAGATTTGGTGTCTGTTGCTGGCAGATTCAACATTCAGAGGAGGCAGTAGCTAGATCAGCTTTGGCAAGTGGGAGTCCATGCCGTGGGCCTTTCCATGGCCACCTTCTCCCAACCATGGCCACTTTGTTTATGTACCCATAATGACAGGTATGGGGTGGCCAATGACAAAGACTGGCTAATGTCAACTGTCAAGGTCATTTTGTCCATGTTCCATTCCATGGTGATGCCTGTGGTGGGCATCACCATATGACAGATCTTACCACTTCATGCCTAGTCCCGTACCTCTTCCTTGTCTCTGAACCTTTAATCTTTTTTTCCCCCACGTTCCTCACAAGCTCAGCAGGCCATTCACCACTGACCATGAGTCTATGTATATTCTCACCTTGGGCTACTTTTCTTTCCAAACTAAATGTGTGACATGCTGCACCACTCAGCGCCATCCATTAAGAAAATACTCCCTAACCACTGTCTTTCAAAACCAACCCCGAATGTGGCTATACCACATAAACATTGCACCTGCCGTCCCTTTTCACCTTGCAACCACATAGCGAGCCAGCTCTTCCATAAACAAAGCCTGAGTTTTCTCTTTCTCCTTCAGCTTGACATAAGGAAACCCCTCCACCATTTGGCCATAGTATGAGCCAGGGAAGGAGAGCAGTTCCACTCTGGTAGGTGATAGGGGAGCCTGGGCCACCTGCACATGCAGCTGACTCATGCCATTCGGCCCTGCTCCTATCTGTCTCAGATATGCCATTCCCTTCTAAAGAAGACTGCTGCTGTCCCACCTGACTTTGTGAGTTGGTGACTTCCATGGAACCCAACTCACAATAAGCTGTTCTGGATGCCTAGTCACTTAGTGTCTCATGATGAAGTGTTTCTTCTCTACCAGGGCCCAGCAGTACACCAGGAGCTGCTTTTCAAAGACTTAATTCTCCACGGCAGGTTACATGCTGGGATCTAGAACTCTAGGAGCCTGCATAGTGATTTTCACTCTGGCATTGCCATAAAGTCCACCTTAGAGGATATATGACCCTAAGGATGGCTAGATAGGATGATCCAAGTATTTGGAGTTAAGAGTACAGGAAGTGTATTGGGTGGCAACACCTATGAAAGATAAAAGGGGAAGAAACAGGAGTAGACAGAAGAAGCCTTTAAACCACAGTTTAATTCAGATGCTCTTGAAACGGCGGGAGGAAGCACAATTGGCAGGAATAGAAAGGGGGAGGGGCAGGTGCAAGTAGTAATTGCTGTGGGAAGAGTCTTTCCAGGCAGAGACAATACAGTGCATAGACAGTATCATCCTAAAGCTACAGAATGCCTCCTAGGGACTAAAATGAGGCCAAAGGGGCCGACATTCAAGGATGCATGGGGTGGTAAAGAAGGTAAAGACCA